ATATATATATATATATATATATATAATATATATTTGACCAGATGTGTTTACTATAAATGTGAAAAATTTACCCATATTATTGAAATGCGGTTTTTAAAGTTATTGCTAAATGCATATTAAATAGATCATTTCATCATTTTATTTAATCAATGCCTATCTAGAAACCGAAATTGATGTGGCAGAAGCGTAACTAGGGTTTTGTGTAAGTAGGGTGACCCGTCTCTCTGATGACATAGTAATGTTTTTAATGAAGAAGTGGCACTTTTTTATCAAAAACACGCCCATGTCTTCAAAGAGGCGGGTCTGCCGACGTAAGTAGGAAGACCCGTAACTTTGAAGACATGGAAAGGAGACCTTGCCTTAGTTACGCCTCTGCCACATCAATCTTGATTTAAAGTTAGCAATTGATTAAAAAAAATAATGAAGCGGTCTATTTAATATGCATTTAGCAATAACTTTAATAGCCGAATTTCAAAAATATGACTTTTTTTTAATCACTTACAAACTCGAATTTTCATATTGAAAGAAACCCGTGGTTTTTTAATCTATCGAGGACTTAAGGCCAAAACGGCGTATGTAAACTTTTCACAATTGCAGTTTTAAGAAAAAGCGTATTCTTAGATCATACATCAATTATCTGATTGTTCACGGAGTTTTACGCCATAAGATAATATACGAGTACGTGTATTCGGAAAAAAATACATTAGAAAACACTAATTGAGGGGTCAGGCATATATATAATACATAAAGATTTAAAGAACCTATCTGCAAATGATAAGCACAAACGAAGATGTTGTTGGTTTTATGCTTTGGCTAACATTCAATAATGTGAAATATTCTTAATTTGGAATTGTCATTTTCGTTTTTAAAATTGATTTCTTTAAATTACTTGAGTATTTGAACATTTAGATACATACACTGACCGTGCCTAGGTTTCACACACCTTAATCGGAGGGTACGGCAACAAACGAAATTAAGGAGTTTTTCAATAATACCAATTAGAAAATGATTTAAGATTTTATTGCTCTAATGACAGGTTTTTTTCAAAACGAAAAGGCTGGGACACGGTACTGTTCATATACAATATTTAGAATGTTGTATATAAACATGCATACACAACATTCTAAGACAACAACAAAGACAACATCAATCGAAATAACCGCGGCGATATATATGTATCGCCCATAATTTAAAAATTATTTTATACCAAATATGTTTTTATTATGTTTGTGGTTATAAAAACAGCCGCTTTTAATTTCTTTCATGAGGAGACTTCCTTTGTTTCATATATTTTATGGCTATTGTAAAACCAGGTGAATAGAAATATTTTTATTGACAAATTGGCACTTTATTCTCAGTAGAATAAATTATTAGGTACTCAAAAAACATATGCCCGGATTCAATTTCATTGCTACAATGTTGGTAGCACTTACTACTAATCTTCCAGTGTTTAGATTTTAACCTTTAGATATTAACCTTTCGTATCTGCTTGAAATGAATTTATCAGCCTTGATTATAAAAAGAATGTTGTATCGTTGGATGTACCAGACTTAACTTTAATGTGTCTTATGATAAAAGCATTTCTGACTTTTATAGTTGTATTTGATGCTTTGTAACTGACAATCTTTTATGAAATAAGTATGATACTGAAGCCAATAAAGATTATGAGGATGAAGCCAAATTAGAAGCAAATGAACTTATTTTTGGCGAAAACAATTAGGCTATTTGTGATATTGATTTATCAACACAGGCACTCATTAAAGATTAGTATGTAAACCAAATTCTTTCATTACATTAAACTATTTTTTTCATTTACACTTAACAGTTAACATATTTAAATGAGAGTTCATTTTGGTCACCAAATTTTAGGTAATATAAGCTTCTTACATTTTGGACATAAAGTTTCATTGTGTTTGTTTACCTTTAAATTTTCTACTAGGCAGAAAAAAGAATAAGTGTATGCATTATTTTAGAGTTACTGATTGTTTTGGTATTTTACCACGTAAATTACACTGACAAGGTTGTGAATGAGGATTAAATTCAGTTTTCAATTCTTCACTCTATTTCTGAGTCGTTTGTGGTCACGATGCTTTTTTTAATGTACGCAATCATTGAAAGTTACCAGACTTTTTCACCAATAGCAAGACAATCAATAAGCTTTTTTGTTTAAGTACTAAGTTTTTATACCTGCTGACAACAATAGCATTCATCATAAGGAGGTTTTGAAATCATACTTAAGCGAAGTGTTGTCGATGTCAGTTTTTTGATAATATTGTTTATGGTATGATAACATAGCAAAAGTTATTCGGATATACATCTCATCTGACAGTATGATATGAAACACCTTTTCATTTTTGTTTTGTTGGTTTGTTCGAACAGCGTAATTTTTTTCTGAGCCAAATATCTACAAACCCCACAAAAAATCCTTAACGAGAATTTAAAAACTTGTTATGGATCTCCATCTAAGAAAAAGAAAAGTTTTTAGGTAAGTGTACTAAATAAAAAACAAGCTTTAACTTTATCTATTAAATAGTGTTTACACTTATTAACTTAATTAAAATAATAAATCAATAACAAATTGACAACAAAAAGATAAAATAAAGATAAAATTTAAAATTAAAAAAAAAAAAAATGGAACTAAAGTTAAATTAAAAAAACTTAAACACATAAATGTTTTATTTATTAATATAAAGACATAGATCATATTACATAAACCATTAATTAAAATAGTTTCACTTTGTGGCGGTAGCGAGATATGATTTTTCAACAAGAAAAAAAAATTGAGTGCTAAGATCAGTTAAAAGTAATAAAAAGATAAAAGATTCATATAAACAAAATTATAAAAAGTTTTAAGTTTTACCGCTCATAAAAAAAGGTAAAAAGCCATAGTAATGTATAAACAATTTAAAGAATTCATCTTTGCAAACTAATTACAAATATTATTCGTGAAAAAAAAGTAAAATTTGAGTTTTTTATATTTTTTAAGTTGGTAAACTTAGCTTTTTTATTGCGTAGAGTATTTTAGAGTTTTGCTATTAAGCCCTGTAAACATAAAAAGCCCTAAAACCTTTTTGCTTTTTTGTTTACAGACTCCAATTATCGCAATTACTTGGAAAGCATTCATATTTGACATAAGTATAACATATAAATATTCGGAGTTTGCTCCATGTCTGGAAGTTAGATACCTGTCTGGAGTTAGATGCGGCACCCGTGCCTATAACCACTGCTTGGCTGCCTAAAAATTTGAAATATAAGAGTTTTCGAAATATTAAATTGGACTTTTTTACCCTATATAAAATGAAGCAATAATAATTTAATCGTGGGAGTATATAGTAATGCAGCCTTACAAATATTGTTAAATACAGTTTTTTGTAAGATCTTTCAATGTCTAAATTGATAATTTGGCATTTCTTTTTTGCTTGAATTTTCAATTTATGTTTTTTATGTATGTGAGCGAAAAGATTTTTTTTTTTTTTTTTGCAATTCACCTCTTCAAGGCTAAGAAGGCCACTACAAATGAGGAAGCTAATTGTGTTTATAACCATCTCTCAATTCTCTAAATCTGAAACACAAACCTTAACAAACAAGGAAGCTGCGCGGAGAAACTACCAGGGACGTGGTGAGAATCGAACTCGGAATCTCTCACTTTTGAAGAGCCTCTCCCTTGAGAGCACTCTCCCACTACACCACTACACCACTAGGGCGTCTAATGAGAGCAGGATGTTACTTTTCTATTATGTTTCTGTCAAACAAAAATTTTATGTTTTTGCGATAATGTTACATAAATTTTTTGATAATATTTTGAAATTTATCAGAATGCTTAAATCACAAAAACAAAAATACACTCAACGCTTTGATGAGGGCAAACGTTTTTTTTTTTTTTTTTTAATTACTGATTTTTAAATGGAAAAAACAAAATTTATAAATAATTTAAGTTTTTAATTTTTGATTTTGTCTCAAATAAATTTGCTTCAGAAAATGCAGATCCTATTATTTTGAATTTTTTTTTTTTTTTTTAATGTACAAACCTACTGAAAAAAAAAATAAAAATAAAAAAATAACCTGACGTAAAAAATATCTAAAGTTTCTACTGAAAAAGACTGAAATGAGAAAGAGCCATTGAAAAAAAACTTACATAAAAATTTAAAAAACTTTAAAAAACTAAAAAACAATTTTCTTTAATAACTTATTTGATGTTACAAAATTACAAAATAGTTACAAAAATATTTAACATATCAAATTAGCAATAAATATATTTCAAACTTTTAAACTCAAAATTGATTCTTATTTAAAATCGGACGTTGATAAATGACGTCAAATTTTATTATATTGTAAAGTAAAAAATTGTCAGTTTGCCACTCGAAAATCAAAAATCGTGATAAAGGTTTTTTAAAATGTGTTTTAAAATTATATTTCAATCTTTTAAAAGAAAATATGATTTAACAAAAAGTAAACTCAAAAAATTTAACATCATTGGGAAAAAAAGTTGTCTCTCAAATAAGCAACAAGAACCAGTTCTATTAAAATATAATAAAATGTGTTTTTATTATATTTTAATAGAACTGGTTTAAAAGAAATTACAAATACTTGTATATCATACAACCCCACCATAAGTTGTGGTTTAGAGAACCAAGAAGTTTATATTCCGAGAAAAAGTTTACTTGAACTGAAATATGACAGGCTGAAAAACAATAATGAAAGTATAAAGCAGTTCAATTGCGATCATGTGAATAACACTTTTTATTCCTACGTGAATTGTCCGGAAACTTCGGCCAGGTACAAATTTTAGAAATAATTTTTCATTTTTGTTGAATCTCTGTTTTAACTTTTACTGCGCATGTTTTTTATAAATTACAAATAATTTAAAATATTAAATACACTTTTTCTATTAAAATTATTCAAAAATAAATATTCCGTTGCATAAATGTTCAATTTTTCATAAAAAATATGCTTACTTCTTTTTTTTTTTTAAATGTCTATGTTTAATATAATTTTTTCTTTAGATTTAAAAGAGTACTGTGGGCAAAGCCCCATCAACCAGTCGGACGCTGGACTAATCCACTAGTTTACCTCATATCTAAGATAAGGTATTGAGCTTTCTATATCTGTTTTTATAATATAATTCATAAGGTAGAATGTAGTTAACACTACTAAGTACTGCTTTCTATTATCTCCAAAACTTGTTTGTGTAAGTTTATTTGTTTTATTGTTAAACATAGTTCAAATATTAACTTCACAAAATAATAAAACATAAAACATTTATGTTGTATACGATTAAATACAGATTTCAGTACTGTAGTTTTTTTTAAACATTTTTATTTTTACTTAACTTACTATGACCATACCATCTAAAAGCTAGGTTTAAACAAGTATTATCATTTTTTTTTTTTATACTATGGTGTTATTTTTTTATAATACAAAACGTACCTTGCTCCTTGTATTATAAGAGTAATACCATTGAATAAATCGAAAGATCTACTTGTTTATCCTCAGATACTCAATTATCATTGTAATCAGTTTCATTTTTGGTTAACTCATTTTTGTTCTTTTACTTTTAGTTTAGTTTATTAACAGTTTTATCAACAATAATAAAGCAAATAAAGCAATTTTTAATTAGCTTTTTTTTAACTTTTTTTTTTTGTTTTTGAGAAACTAAAAGCAGAAAAAAGTCAACAGAAAATATTTTTTTTTTTTTTAATAAAATAAATGTACAAAGCAAAAATGCATTTATGTATTTATTTTTTTTTTCCGTTTGTTTTCTAGCTTAAATAACAGTTTTACATGCTTAGTATTTTATATATAAAAAAGTTAAAATGCTAGAAATTTGTTTTGACGTTCTTACGACGCTTTTACAACTTTGTTAAGTCAGGTTGTAGCTTAGTACTGGCAAAGTTTGTTTAACTTTGCAAATTGAGTTCAAAGGAAGCCAAAATACCGAGTAATCGTTAAGCTATGATTACAAAGTTTATCGAATATTCTGTCCTCATAAAATTTTTTTCAATAAATTATTATTTTCTATTTTCTCCACTATTCGTTAAATAATTCGTTCAACTGATTGTTGAAATCCAGTTCAAAGTTCAAGAAACTGGATTTACCTTTTTAGTTAAGTCAGGTATAGTATTAGCTATGTTATTATTATTAATTTTTTCTCTAAAACTTAAAGATGATTTAAAAAAATTATTGAACCTAAATAAAGTGTAGAAAAACACTCCACAATAGGATATGTTGACTTTAGGAAAATTTAATTTTGACTATTCAATATTGAAAAACTGAATATCTCAAAAAAGTATTAGTTATGTTGTTAAATATTTTTTGTTCTTTTAAAGACAAAATGAAGATATGAACTTATTAAAATCACTAAAACAAAATGTTTCACCCAGCCGAAACAACATCTGGAATTATACTCCTAAAGATGATTTATTCACATTGGGGAACAAACACCCTTCTCAACTTTCTGCTGAGCAATATTTGGTATATATAAATTACAAAGAATATGATAGGTAAGAATAATTTTAGTTAAATGTATTGCGAAACGGAACTTTCGTTTTTTATTTATAAATACACATTAAAAAAAAAAAGAAAATCTAAAAACTGAAAAATAAAAAACTAAAAAAAGCAGTTAAAGTTTATCATATTTTGTAACTTGCACTTTAATATTTAATAGAAATATATAATAAATAGCTTAATATAGTTAAGAAAATTGTCTCACCTGCCGTGGACAAGCAAAATTGAGCAAACAGTTTGTATGCTTGTTTTTTGCCACGCCTATGTCGAAGAACTATTACGTTGATACACTTAGGCGCAATCGCAGTAAAGGTAAGAATATATTGACCTGGAAACAAAAAACATTTAAGTGAAAAAAACGCATGTCCTACGTGGGTTCCATGTGAGAACTGTGTGGGATTCATGGTAACCAATATGGAGCCCAGGTCGGACACGATACTTTTTTTTTTTCTTAACTAGGATATCATAAGAAATTCTTAGTTTAAAAACTCTTTATACAAGAAAAGTTAGAAGAGATATGATACAACGTAAATTTAAATTTATGTATCACATATATAACTAAAGTTATTTTATAACGTTGTTAAAGTTTAACACTTTTTTAACTGTTTAACATTATTTTATACTATTTTATCAATTATAATTTTTAATATTGCAAGTAACTATCTGAATAAAATAATATAAAATGAATTTTTTTTTAAACTCTATAAAGACTACACAATACTGCACCATCATCGTCAAAACAAGATTCCAAACAAACAAAATGCTGTTATTGTTCCTGGCAAGAACCGTTTTTTTTTTAAGGAAGTTTTGTTTTGAAAATATTGGTATGTCTATTTTTAAAAAGTTTTTAAATCTTTATTTGTATTATCTGCACATTAACTATTTTGTTTAAAACATTGATATATTAATTATGTCGATTCAATGCTTTTTGACAAAACGTTCTTGTGTTTCTTTTAAATATTTCTACATGTATTTGAATTTCTAAAGCGGGTTTGTGTTTTTGATGGGTCGGGTTAAAAGTTTTCATTGTAAGGAATTTTTATATAAATTTTACATCATAAGTTTAACCTAAAAATATTAAACATACTTATTTTAGTTTTTATATTATTTTTAGAAAGGTATTAAGAAAATTTGTTAAACACTGGAAAAACACAAACTTAAAGATAGCCACGAATATATTCGAAATGATGTATCATGAGAACATTCTTTATATATCTTTGTTTTATTATTGTCATATTATGTTGAATAGTATAATAAAAAACTTTGTAATTTATATGTGAATGAATTTTTATAATTATAAATGTAATAATAAAGTATTTGTGTCAAAACTACCCCAAATGAAGAGACTATTTATTGATTGTAAATTTAGTATAAAAAAGGTATTTAGTACTTTTTTTATACTAAGTTTACATTTATCGATAAATTTTTCTTTTTATCTAATAATTTTTTTAAATTTTACATATTGTTACCAATAAAGTTTCTACATTTAAAATGATATTCGTGTATATATGCGACTACGCTAATTATATATCCGTTTACTTTTATAGGTAGAAACTATATTTATAATAGTTATGAGTTTAGACGATACTTTTAGAAACTAAAAGATTTAAAAAGGTTATTATTAATATGTAAATTAATTTTGTATAAATTAGTAAAGTTAAGTAGTTGATTGGCGCGTTGCGCCCTTGCTAAAGTTTTAACGTTTTATAGTTTTAATACTACTCCTTTTAACATTATTTCTCCTCTGTTTTCATTTACTTGATCAATAATTGTTGGTATACATCTAATCGTGATTTGCAGAGCTTCATTCTCTTTAGTTTTCCAGAACTCAGAAAGGCCTATAATTAACGTATATTGCTTTTTATTTGCACAAACCAAGACATTATGGAATGAATGTAATTACAACACACCATTTGCTAAATTTAAATCAGGAGTTCGAACTGCTTAATGAAAATATAAAATTTCTATCTTCAAGCCATACATTTGTTTCAGTACTTGGTTTTAAACGTTGTTTTATTATTGAGCTGATACTTTTATCGAACTTTTGTTTATATTTCTGTTCTAACAAATAAGAAAAATTATAATTCAAAATTTCAAACATTTACATAATTGCATAATTTTATTGTTTTTGTTTTGGTTTGAACATCTCAAATAAAAAAGTGATTATTTCTTAAATTTGGTAGAAAATAATATTAAATTAAAATAATATTATTAAATAATGTTCAAAATTGTTAACGAATTCGGAAGAAAAAAAAACCTAGTAAATGAAATTTTTATAATTTTTTTATAAAATAGAATTTATATTATAAATATCCTTTTATGTTTGAACATGGATTATTTGTCAACAGTCATGATTCGATTCACTGTTAAGCTAGAAATGTTACAGTTAAAGCCATACAATTTTTCGAAGGTTAGATTTTCATAAGTTTTAAGAACAAAATAAGTTTTCTCTTAAACATTTGAGAAGATTGTATAACAACATAATCAAACATAAAAACAGAAAAAGCATTTTTATAGTCGACGTTTTCCATGCACTATAGCTGTATCAATAATTGGAGGCCATCTCACAGATAGCAGTGTACTTTGTAAAAATCAAATTAGAGTTTGAATTAGCTTTTATCCATTTTTTAACTTTATCACTTGGAAACTGATACACTGATAGTTTTTTAACTACACTAGATATTATGTTTATTTCACTTTGATAGTCGGTTTGACAAGCATGCACACAACATTTATTAGGCATGATGATTTAATCTAAATTTTATAAATATGTTATTTATAAAATTTAGATTAAATCATCACCAGTTTGCACGATAAATAAGCTTGTAGTAGAGAATGCTATGACTCTAATAGATGTTTTACTAGCCTTATTTTAGTAGTCTAATAGATGTTTTATTACTCTCTGACAAAGAACCTATAAGAGGATTTTTAAAATACCTAATATAAGAAGCAATATAACCATCATTTTATGCACAGATTGTGACATATATTTAGTTTTTTTAAAATAAATTATTAGTAATGGGTGCAATCGGATGTTCTGATTTCTGATTGAAAATTTATATATCCGATATTCTAGTCGTGCAGTCTTATAAATAAGTCCCGAAACAACTTATGCATTTTGATTTAGATGCTCTTATAATTAACTTTATAACATTTATATATTTTAAATAATATGGTTTTAAAGATTTACAAATTTAAGGTTATCTGTTTTTATGGATTTATTAAAGGTTTTCCGATAACACAAGTTTAAATATACACTTTCTAAGATATTTTTTTACCTTTTCATTCATTACCTATCATGTATGTTTTTCCTTGTTATTTTGTTATGTTCTCAAAATTACTTTTAATTCGGACCGTAGAGAAACCATTACTTTTCGGAAATTGTGATTTAGAATATGATCTCAAAGTTTCTTTTAGTTTGGACCGTAGAGAAAACTTCACTTTTTAATAGCTTTGTAAATTGTTGTTACCTTTTTTTTTTTAGTGTTATTTATTTCGCCGTTAAAAAATGTTTACATTGCATATACATTTATATAAATTGATGGCTGGAGCAAGAAGAAGGCACATTTCGCCTTATCGCCGAGCCCCATTAAAAATTCTACATAACCGTAACATACAAATATATATATAAAAGAAACAATTAGAAATGAAATAGAAAATAACTAATATAATAAGAAAAATAAAAAATAAGAATTAATTAAGAAGCGTTAAGATGCTTAACAGTTGCTATAATGTTTAAGAAATAAGTTAATATAAAAAAAATAAAAAAAATAATAAAATTCCTGAATATAAAAGAAATTGAAAAAATAAAATCTCATAATTAACACTAAATGAATATGTAACATTATCACTTATGACATCATCACTTGTGACATCATCACTTGGATTTCTTATTCTTTTTTTTTTTTTTTTTTTTCTTTTTTTCCTTTTTCTTTCTTTTCTTATTCATATTATCATATATCATTGATATAATTGAATCTGTTTTTTTTTTTATTTTTTTTTTATTGTGTTTACTTTAAAATAAACATTTAAAGTCGGATTTATTGAGATCCATGAACATTAAATAATCGTTTTGATTCATCCTTAAATTGCTCTAATGTAGTCTGCTTTTTGTTAACAATATCTGGAAATTTCTTCCACAGATAAGGTCTGCGGTATTTATATATATATAACTTTTATAGTTGTCTTTTGATAAAATCATTTCTGACTTTTATAGTTGTATTTAATGCTAGTTTACTGCTTACATAAGCTTTTGGATAAAGTTAAAACAAAACTGGTTAAAAAAAAAACACTCTTAAAAATTCGTAGAATCTACGGAGATTGTCTAACAGCAAAGTGAAACAAACAGTACTCCGTAAAAATTAACGGTTTCCGTAGTTTTTTCCGTGGCAAAAGAGGAGCATTCTTGTGAATCCATGATTTCAGTCGGCAGCTTTTCGAGGGAACTTTTAAACATCTATCTGTTCTTCTAGCATAGCAATGGAAGATTCAGATGCAGGTATATTTAAAATTCAAGATTGGGTTGAAACCAAAACCAAGGCATGAACCTAAGAAAAACTTTCAATAGTACTATTTCATTTTAAAAGTTACAATCAAAATTAATCAATTTATATAAATACAAATAAATAATTAAATAATAATTTAATAATTATTAACATCAAAATTTCTATTCTACAGATAACTTTGTCAAAAACCACAATTTTATATAATTTAAATATAGATCTTTTATAGACTGCACTACAAAAAAGTATATATAAAAATACATTTATCATACTATTTTATTTAATATATACTTTTTTTCCATACATTTATGCTCCATGTGGTTTATCTATCTCCGAAAAACTGCCTTATATAGAGGCTACATACTCAGGCCCATATAAACCAGTTCAGCTCAATAAATAGAATTATAACCCCTTTGCAGACCAAAGGTAAATAATTTTTAGAAGAAAAAAAGGATGTTAGAAAATTGTGCAATTTATGTTTAATATCAGTTTTATTATATATATATATATATATATATATATATATATATATATATATATATATATATATATATATATATATATATATATATATATATATATGTATATGTATATGTATATATATATATATATATATATATATATATATATATATACACATATATATATATACATATATATATATATACATGTACAAGGTTATAGAGAGAAAGTTAGAAGAAGTCGAGTTAGAAAGTTAACATAGACACAGCAGACAGTATTGCACTAGGTGTTAGAATGTGCTTTTTATGTTCAATATCAAGTTTATTTGAAAGAAATCCTTGTTATGTTACTTGTATAGTTAAGATCTATTTATTGGTGTGACACCTTATCAAAATAAACAAATAAAGCAAAAAACAAGTAACATAATGTAATAATATAGATTGTGGCCAAAAAATAGTTATAACAATAAGGATAATAATAACTATTAAAAAAAGCCAGAATAATAACAAAAAAGAAAAAAGGGAATGAGCTGAGTTGAGATATAATGAATGAATGAGATAACACAACGTTTAACGATCAGAAAGGTGATGGAAAAAAAAAAAAAAGATACATTATGATGAGACAAAAAAATATAAAGTCACTTAAATAATAGCAGCAACTGTAAAACGCGACAATAATAAAAATAATTAGCAGCAACACCACAAAATAAAAAAGCACAACAATACACATATGAACACGTCAATATAATCGATGCACATAATTACATGACAATATAAGCAATAAAAGCAGCGGTGGCGCAGTGGTAGCGCACTTGCCTCAGAAACGTAAGATCAGTGGTTCAAACCCCACCTCTGGGCAAGTTTTGCGATATCGGTTGGGAAGGAGGCTGTGATTTTAGCTGTTCATTGAAAAGAATTAGGCCGTATTAATAATGATCTTATAAAACAAAGTGAAGATGTAAAGAGTTACTGGCGTAATATAATCTAGAGACTCATAAGTGTTATAACATTTATATGTAAACTAGGTTTAGCATTACGTGGTAAAAATGAAATTGTCGGTTCGTCTAAAAATGGTAACTATTTTGGAATTATAGAGCTATTAGCTGAGTATGATAATTTTCTTAAACAGCATATTGAAAATCATGCAAATCGTGGAACCGTGGGCACACTAACTATTTATCTTCTACTATCTGTGGCGAATTAATAGAAATAATGGGAAATAATGTTTTGAATGAAATAATTTCTCGTATAAAGTTATCTAAATATTTTTCAATTTCATTAAATTCAACACCTGATGAAGG